GAATAAAACACCACGATTTCAAAGAATATAAAAGAGCAGACGATAATTACTCCGGCTTGTGAAATGATGCTCATTAAGGGTGTAATTGGACTCGGTGGCAAGTGGTCTGAGGGGGATTCAGGGGATTCAAGAGAAAGAAAAACGAGGACGGAACAAAAGAGGAGCGCAAATGTCAAAAGTTTTCTCTTATTTCCACAGTATTGATGAATGATAATTGCAGTTTTTCGTTTCGTCAGAGTTTTGCTCCTATTATAAATTAGGCTCGAATTGGCAGACGATTTCAATTCGTATTTGCACCACTTGAGACAAAACCAATGTTTCTCTTTCCTGAGAAAACTCCCACGCCGAATACGTAAAGGTGCTCTTTTTCAGCATCGACTTGTCACGAAAACATTCAAAACCCAACTAACGATCCTCCATTAGAGCCGAATCTGGGAAACAGGCACACACATGCATGACACAGCATCCCTCCTTCAATTTTCCAGCAGCTCTTTCTTTCTTTCCTTTCTTTGGCAGAAAAGCACACACACGCGATCGCAGCCAGCAGCTTTTAATGATCTCTCTGCCTGCGCTGCACCACCCAGATCTCCTCTTTTTATCATTTTAATGATATGAAAATGAATCCAGACGCATGTGTGTGTGTGACATCCAAGACTCCTCTATGCGTTCCGATGATACAAAGAGAAAATGTGCTGCCAAAGACTGCCCGTTTTGCGAAAGAGAGAAGAGAAGAAAAAAAATGCCGCCAATTTGGCAAGAATTGGCGAAAATTTGAGAAGATATCAAAAGCTATCCACAAACAAGGAAAAGTGTGTAGGAGTTTCTGGAAAATTATTTTTTGTTGCATTCAAAGGAAATTGAAATTCGTGGAATAAGTTGATTTTTTTATTATTTAAAAAGAAAATAAAAAAGAAAAATTTCTACATTATTACAAAATTAAGATATTACAAAAATGAAAAAATCGTACAACAAATTAGAAAATGACAAAGATTAAAATTGTAAAAATACAAGTGAAACTTCTTGCATATTGATCCCTAACGATTTTTTTCAACTGATTTCCATTTTTAATACAATTTTGATTAATTACATTTCCATTTTATAATTTATTCTTAGCTATGAATTTATAAATTAAGACATCTAAATAATAAATTGAAATGAAAGAGATACTTTTTGTCAATTAATCAATTTTAAAGTTTTTACCAAGCTGAAAATTTCCTAAATAAATTTGTTTTAAAGCAAAACTTCTGAAGTGATTTTGAAATTCTAGATAGAAGTTTCAAATTCCCACTCTCGAATCAATCCTTCCTTAATGATAAAAATAAAATTTCCCCCAAAAAAAATGCTATTTCCCTTTTTTGTCATTTTTTCTTACTTAATCAAAAGGGATTTGATTGCATTTCTAAGAAAACGGCGACGACCCAAGTTATATTGCAAAGAAAATTAAAAGCATCGAGATCCAATAGTAAGTGCCAATTTTGTTTGTAATGATCGCCGGGACGCTCCGCCCAGAATGAGCTGCTGCTCTCGGAGGCTGCCGGGTGATATTTCAAATATCGAATATTGATCAGTTGACACCACTCGGGCGCTCTCGCTGCTCTGTATGGAAAGACTTTTAGTGTTCTCTAAGACTATTGGATTTCTTATTCGCTCCCCCGCCTCCGCCGGCACACAAAAAGAAAACGTTATGCAAAGACAAAGGAGAGAAAGAATAGGAGGCGCTGCTCTCGAGAGTGTGTGCGCGTCAGTTCTCTCTCGTTCTTTCTCTCTCTTCGCTCATATGTGAATACCTGAAGGGATGATGCTTTGTCATGCAAACCAGCAGCTCCGAGCAGGGTGGATGCTCGAGATTCACCCCCTCGCACCCCGGCGCCAGCTCAATTTCCCCGCTCGCACTTTGCAATTGAGTTTTGTCTTTTTAATGCTCCTGCCCAAAAAGTTCTGCACAAAAAGCCAGGGAAATAAAATAAATTTCCTATTGTTGTTTTTACTCAAATTTTTGAGCTTGTTGTTACAATTTGTGAAGTTTGAATGAAAATTCCTGAAAATTCTCGTAATAAAATTTTAGATTAATTTACTAAAATTCTGTTAAAACTTAGCAGTTTATCAAAAACATCTTCAGTTTTTCTTTAAAATATAATTTAAATCAAATTTTCCATTCACAAAATATAATGACCACAATGATGGAAACTTTTCACCTATAACAATAAGATTTTGTTTCCATGTGAACAATAAAAAAGACTGATTTCTTTTCCAAGATTGAAATATTCTCTGAATTTCAAAAAGCAATTAAAAATTGTATGATGGAACTTTGACTTTTTACAATGAAAATAAAATTTCATGAAGTTAAGATCGACTCTTACGTGGAGAAACTTTCGTATTCAACTCAGCGTTTCGGCCATAATTTGGCTCGCAAATTTTCCTCTCCAGCCTCTTTCTCCCCACACATGCAAAAGAAAAAACCAATTACAGAAGCAGAGGGCGCTCCGCCGGCAAAGTCTTCATTTCGAGATATATACGCACACACACGTGAAACATACACAAAGAGAATGAAGAAAAGATATGGAAAAAATAATAAAAAGGCAGGAAGGCGGCGCGCGCGCGGGCGAGGAACGCGCCATACTCTGTTGGCTGTTGCAGATGGAATTCAATCCACGTCGAAAAAGGAATTAAATTTTGCTCCCACGAGGGCTCGGGCGGAGAGTGGAGGAAGTTGGGCCTCGTATGTGCTACCCTCCGTATTACACCCCCTTTTCCACTAATATTTTGCCAGCACGGCAGAAAAATGACTTCTCTTTATATGGAATCGGCGTTGCAAGGCTGCCCGCTTTTAGCGTGGGTGGTCGAGAAATGTGTGCGCACCAATTAAGAGGCGATTTCGCTCTGAATGGCCATCCGCCTGCAGATAAGATCGCCGCCGCCGTCTTGGAGCGGACCGAGTTTTTATAATTGCCGTCGCAGCGAGCGAGAGAGCCAGCAGCGATCTGGAGAGCGGGGGATTTTTCTTTTCTCTCTTTTTATGTCCGGCTCGAGTTTTTATAACACTGCGGCGATTGCAAAGATTTGCTGACTTGTCCAATGAGGATAATTATTTTGAAAAGAAATAAAAGGAACTTGAGGAAAAACGGTTGAGATCTTCAAATGAAATAAATAATTTTCTTCAGAATATTACGCTCAACATTTTTTTAAGCAGCATTTTATGCTGATAGCTGCATTTTTAATAAATATTCATACCATTGAATTTAAATTAATTGAGGATGTTTTTAATTCTATTGTATTTTGATATTTATTTATTCTCCATTCAGATACAATGAATGAGAGACTTTAATTATTACCTTCATAATAATCCTTAATCACGCATAATGCTTGTTTTTTTCTCTTAAATTTTATAATTAAAATTTTGATTCCTCTGTACTCAATAAACATTCAGCGATATTTCTGCTATCACTTCGTCAGTAGCTTCAGAAGAATAATTGATTGTTGAAATTCAATGTTTCAAGTTCAAATTTATTTAATTTTAATATAATAATATTATCCAATTGTATTTTTGACACATGGATCCTCCAACGCTTGCGGTACCCGCCGAGTGCTTGTTTAACCTCAACTCTACAGACGTTAGTCCAGTCAAAAATTTATATATGGTTATGAAAAAGCCAACTAGAATATATAAGTAAAAAAATTGATGGCTTAAATATTTATGATTTATTTAAAATTAGCTTCAATTTAAAATGGGTAATTTAAATTAAAATAATAAAAAACACATAATGTGACAAAATATTAAAAAAATAATATCTTTATAATTAACAAATTTAATAAAGTTTGAATAATAAATTTATAATAATCATTTTGTTAACTTTTACATTGCTTTTCATGAATGCTTAAAATATTAGACAATCAATTTACTGTCTTTGAATTTTGACGATTTGCAATCCGCCACGATATTCGAAACACACATAATTAATTAATTAGATCCTAATTAGCGGTTGGCGCCTTGAAAGCTCATTCATTATGCAAATTGGCGCATAATGAGCGCCGCAGTGGCAATTACAGGCGCTCGGAGAGAGCGTCGGCGAGAGAGGTGGTTGTGCAGGGGCGGCCGGGGGTGGCCGGGGAGGTGGCGCATGATCCAGAAGGTGCTTGGATGGCGTCTCTACGTATTTTATACATACACAGCAGCAGCAGCAGCACACACACGACGGTTCTCTCTCTCTCTCGACTCATCAGGCGAGAGATCGATAAATTCTGGAGCTAGAAGAGAGAGCTACACACATGTAGAATAACACACACGCTCGGCACATGAGGGCTGCGATTGGCCGCGCTAACGAGGCCCTCCTTCGGTTGGAGCAGCGGCTCGAGGCGCGGGGGTTGGCTCGTAATTAAAATCATTACCGCCTCTGATTGGCCTGGCGCAAGAACAAAGGCTCATTTGGCGCAAAAGGGTTGCGCCGTGGCCAGGCCCGCGCGATCTCTTAATTCAATGACGAGTCCGCCGTAATTACGTATGCATGGGAGGTGAAACCGTGCGTTATTAACGCGCAGATCGATACCACAGGCAGACCGGGTTTTCTGCTCACACACACGCGCCAGGACGAACCAACCAACCGTTTTCGCTCGGCCGAAGAGGAAATTAGCTCGGAGACTCACTCTCGTCCCCGAAATTTTAATCCTAAAACTTAAAAATTGTGTGGCATTTGAAAATTTCTTATTTCAAAAGATTCTGGGGAAAAATTTGGCAAGTTAATTATAACTTGCGATAACTTGCTATCTTAAAATCACTCGAGAGGGAAGGTTTATTTTTCATTGGTACGCATATCGATATGACAGATTTTTTTTGAGCAGGCCAAGAAAAAGTGTCTTATCGGCCCGTGCCTTATGAGCTTACAGAAGGCAAGCTCTTATACTTATGCATATTTTTTTTGTAATTTTTTTATAACGTTAATATCATCAATTATAGATAAGCAAGTTGTCTTATATATTGATAAATGACAAAAGTGTTTAGAGTGGATCAAATCATTTCGTACAGTTGTACGATATGCGCAATCTAGTGAACATACTTGTCCGTCGAGGCTACAGCACATTGGTACCTAAATTTGAAGAGATTAAAATCCCAGTGCCTTGGGGTCACATAGCAGGTTGAAAGAAAGATTTAATTAATTTTCTTGTCTCAAAATTAAAAACCTTTTTTAACTTCTATAAAGCTAAATATTGTCATTTTTTTCCAATCAATATTCAAAATAATAATGTGAATATTAATCAAAAAAAGATCAAAACTTGTAGTAAATTTTTTTTAAATTAATTCTTAAAACTGTAGCAAAATGGTGGGGACCTCAGGACAAACAGCCAGTTTTGGCCCTTCACGGCTGGCAAGAAAACTGCAACTCATTTGACCCTTTGATGAAGATTCTGCCAGCAGATTTGAGTATTTTGGCTTTTGACATGCCAGGAAATGGATATTCCTCAAGATATCCTACACATGGACAATTCCACGTACTTGAAGATGTTCTTGCACTCCGTGCACTCAACAAACACTTCGCATTCAAAGATCCCATCAAGTTCCTTCTGCATTCATACTCGATTGGTGCTGGATTCATTTATGCCTCAAATTACCAGACAGTAAGTTTTTTACATTCTACCATTTTTTGATGAAAATAAATTCTGTTTAAATTCAGGATGTCGAAAGGATGCTGGTGATTGATTATATAAAACCTCAGAGTTTGGACGGCAAACTTCTTGCCAATGCCGGGGGGCAATTTTTGGACAAATTGGTGGACATTGCAATGGATACTGAAAAGGTCAAAGAGGCTACCCTTGAGAAGCATGCGGAGACGTACAGAAAGGGCGTCATGAACAGCATCTCGCTTGAAAATTCCAAGTTGCTGATGGAACGCAGCACCGCTCTCAATCCCGAAACCGGACTTTACTACATCACTCGAGATCCGAGAATCAAAATTAACTTCTACTTTAGCTTTCCAAATGAATTTTTCGTAGAAATGGCCAAGAACATCAGGTGCAAGATTTTTTACATCCGCGCGAAGAAAGGATTGGTTTTCGAGCACCCGAAAGTCATCAAGGCAGTACAGGTGGAAATTGAAAAGGCGACGGACGTCGAGTACGTGGAAGTTGACGCAACGCATCACGTGCACATGGAAAAACCGGAACTTGTCAAACCTTTTGTACTTGACTTTTTATTTGGAAGAAAATGTTAAAAATTGGCATTTATTATTTTTTTTAATTCAAAAAGTTCAAAAATAAAAATTCAATCGTCATCTTCATTTAAATAGTGCATTTTCTTTTTCGTCAACAATTAATCTCATATTGAATCCTGAAACTTGTGAGCACGGAAACAAAAAAGGTTAAATTAATGATATTAATATTTCCACTTTATCAAAATCTCAATTGTCAGAATATTTTAAATAATAAATATTTACTCTAATTAAAATTTCAATAAAAGGTTAATATCAGCACACTGCACACAAAACTATAAAGAAAAAAAAAATTAAAATTAACTAAGGAGGGGCTGCTCTTAAAGTAAAATCGAAATTCCAACTGATAAGTTGTGATGGATCATAAACTTATTTTTTTAAATATCTAACCAAAAGGATTATGAGGAAAAACCAATTAAATTTTCATTGCTAATTTATAGTGTCACTAAATAAAGACATTATTACACGTAATTTTTTCTAAAAAAAATTTGCAATTTTTCCCTAATTCTTTTCTCCTAAAAGAGTTCTAATCTTTTATTCAATTCCTTTCTATTCTGAATGAATGTTCATCCTATTTTGCACGAATTTAAAGTCAAACTTATTCGTTTTAGTTCAATTCACCTTTAAAATTGTGCTCAAAAATTCAAAATCGTAAATCTCATTTGCCCCATTCTAATTAATTAGTTAATTACCTAATTAACGTTAATGAGCCCTCCGGCGTTAATTGCAATTCGAGGTGGCCGCTAATGTTGGACGCGGCCGTTTCCGGAGCGACTTTTTACGCAACGTGGAAGACAAAATGGTCGTTTATTCTGGCAAGGAGGGAAGGAGTTATTGCCAGCAATGCTAGCGCCACACGAGGGGGCGCCATCGGCCCAGCTTGGCGGCGGATCAGCCGAGCGGGGATGAAAGATTCGCATGCAAAGGGAAGCCAGAGGTCTCCCTTTGTTTGAACAATATATACGGCGTGGGCAGGAGATAAAACAAAAATGTACATAATATTTCTTTACTGCAAACACTTGGCGAATTTTCATCTTGAAAGAAATGAGGTTTTATTGGGGCTCTGTTTGGACGGAGGGATGATGAGAACGATAGATGGGAGATGAGGTCAATTTTCTGAATATACGAAAAATGAAATCAGCAGCAGGGGATGAAAAAATTTCATAAAAAGAAAAAAATTATTCGTAAATTGTTACCAAAAATTTTTTTAATCCTCGAATTTTCTTCCTTTTGAGAAATAAATAAATAGAGCAGTTTCCAATTCCAGAGGAAAGGCGTCGATAGATAATTTCCTCGTAGGAAAAAATTCTCACGGCCTTCATTTGGGCGCTCGTCGCTCATTCTCTTCAGCACGTATCAGCGTCACGCAGGTTGCATACCATGACAGGCGTTTCGCCTCTTCTTCTCCCCAACTCCTCTCCGGTTCCAATTCTCGAGCGGCAGATTTCCAATTTCTCAGACTGATACGCGTTATTATCCACAATATTTTTGTGCCACGAGTTGGAAGCAAATCCAAACACGAATTAAAGCAGGGGCGTTTCTTCTCTCTCGAAACAAAGAGAGAAATAATAAAATAGAAGAAAATGCAGGAGCTTTCGTGCTAAAATAAATTGAATTATTTTCCCTTTCCTGTTATTTCCTTCTCCATAGTGTTCTGTATATTAGAAATAGGGGCGTTTGAAATGAGTGAGCGCCGGCTGATATTGATCAGAGACATCCACACACGGCATATTTAAAAATGTGTATTCGGTGAATGTAGGTAAATTGCTTTTTGATAATAGTGTTTTTCTCCCACACAGACACAGAAGACGCCGCGCGGTAGAGCATTTTGTAATAATACATAAACAAAAAACGTAAACACGTGTGTGTTCGTTTCGCTATGGGTACACAAATAACGAAATTAAATGTCTGCAATGGGGAGCAGATTTAAAGATGTAGCGATAAATTTGACCCTAATTAGCAAACAAAATTCAAATAATGTTTTTTTGTCATAATGCATATTTAGAATAAAATATTTTATTTCTATTTACATGATTCATAGTAAGATAATATAATAAAAATAAGCTGTTCCATTCCTATTTTCAATTAATTAATTATGACCAGCAATATTCTCATTAGAAATAGAATGTTTAGAAATTCTTCTGCATTGGCAGGTGAAAATAACTCACTTAAATATGACAAAATTTTCCCGTTTAATTTTGTTTAAGATTGAATTTCTAATTTCAGTTTCAGTTTTTTTTTGCTCTCCATTTTAAAAAGTTTGGTCTGAATTCCAAAATATCTTGTCATTTTTTTTTTGAACACCTTAAATTTATAACTCTCTTGTTCCGCTCTCCCTGCCCGTTAGGATATATCGCAGTCGAGAAGACCGTTTCCGGCGCTCACGATGTACTTGTCTGATGATGGTGGCACGCGGCGCGTCGGTGCTGTTCTCTCTCTTTCTCTCTCGTTGTGATATTAAAAAATAAGAGCCAACTCGGGGGAGTTTTAATAACCTAAAGTTTGGCCCCCGCAGCAGCCATAGCAGACATGTCGGCTGCAAGTTTGATGGTTTGCTCAAAAGTTTTGACGTTCGTTCTCTTTATTTCTCTCCCTCTCGCACGTCCGAGATGGAAAAATATAATATAATGTACATATTTCAGGAAAAATCATTTACAATAACGCAGGAGAGACATGTGACACAAAATCTATTGATTCAACCGGTCGGTGGAATGGCTAAAAAAGTTCATTGATTTACTAAAAGAATTATATTGAAAAATATTTATGAAAAAATTCAAGTAATACAAGTATTGAAAAAATTCAAAGATTGGAAAGGATAAAAATAATTAATTTCTGCTGATCGGAGACATCCATATAAAATCAAATACCCATAAATCATGCTATTTTAGGTTAAAAAATGACTAAATTAGTGAATTTAAAAATAATTTTAAAATAACGTTGTTAATATATCTGATAATAATAAACTATATATTGTGTGAATTGTGTATAAAAAATAATTATATGAAATAATTATCACTATAATATAAGCAGTTTGCATGTGTAAAAGAGTATTTATTAAATTTATTTAGTCAAAAATACCAAAATTTAAATTTAATTAAAGACCATTATGTGATTGTGTCTTTAAACATATTCCACTTATCATAATTTTATTTCTAAAAATATCAATTTTTTCTACTAAGTTGCCAAATAAAAGTCAATTCCACTCTTTTACAAAGCAAACAACAAAAGGATCCTTGGAAATTAAATAATTATAAATTATGCCCTAACTGAAAAAAAATTGCAATTCTACTGATACTTATTTTTTTCATGTTTTACAATTTTCAGACCCAAAATAAATCAAAGCAACCCTCATCACCCTGCTCCTCTAGTGCATCTCACGTGCCATTCCATGAATTTTCATTCCCTCTCGACAATCACAAAATTTGTGCCTCTTCGGAGAGAGAGCGAGAAATCCCAGGGACCGCGCGCGCCTAATGTACGCATGTGTGTATAATATTTCCCTGCGCGCAGCTCACACACGTTGAAAGGACAAACACAATATATATTGATTATGGCACCGTGTGTATGTATAAAAAGTTGCTCAGCCCCCGCTTATTTCTGTGTATATCAAATTTTTTCGCCTCTCTCCGAGGATGAGATGGGCATTAGCGTGTGTGTGGGTTTCTCTCTCGGCTGCACGAGCTGCTGCCGGGACCCCCGTCATACTCCAGATTAATACTTGAAATATAGAAATGCTACTAGCAGATGTCAGACGACATAAATCAAATGTCCACCAGACCAAAATCCACCGTGGAGGAATTTGTTTTGCTCTGCTGTGCCGCTTTTTCGCTCCCGTACTTCTTCTTCTCTCTCTCTTCGACTATGTTTTTTTGCCCTCTCGTCCTGCGCCATTACTTATATTATTAATAATAAAGCGAAATGTCATTAGTTTTTGCGAGTCGATCGGGGACGGAAAAGGCCTCCATTCCGTTGATGACTGCGAGATCGGCTGCCTGGCCGTGATTCGATATCGCGTTGATTTATGCGACCGGCTCGCTGAAAATAAATCCGCTCGTTCCATTCTCGTCTCGGCACTCGGTGCTCTTGGCAGTGATTTCCAACTCTAATAATCCGACTGCCGGCAGTAAATAATCTTTTGTTTCAATCACTTTTGCTAACGTAAATTAGGTCACTTATAGAAAAAATCATATGTGAAACTTTTAATAATTAAACTTTAAGACAAGTTTAGTGTTCACAAAGGTTCGGATACATTCATATTAAGTAAAAACTTAAAAATATTTCTTGAAATTATAATTAATTTATTTGCTTTTTAATTATTAAATTGTTTTTATGAATAAATTAATATTTTAAATATTTCTAAATGAGATTATAAAATTTTGATAAATCAGATCTCTCTTTATTAAAAATATATTTTTTGATCATTAGTTAAAGTATGTGCTCTACAAAATATTTTTATTTAATATTTTAATCAAACGCAGTTCCATGCTGAATGTTTATTAATCTTAAATGTTTTTAATTTTTAATGACTAATAACATTGAACATATTGTTAGCAACCATAAGTTTTTCAAATTATGAGTATCAATGAAGGAAAAACAAAAATTTAATGAAGTTATTGAATAATTTAAATATTAAAAGAATCCTTTCAAATTCAGTTTTTGCGTTCTCATTCTGTGACCGTAAAACTTCCAAACTGATTGGACTTATTGAACTATTTAAAACAGATTTCTTACTTGATTCAATATGAACAAAATTAATACTTAAAAAAGAATATTAAAAAAATTCAATCGTTAAGGCAGTTATTCGTCTTTAATAGAATACTTATGCATTTAAAGAAAAAATAATGCCAGAGATAACTAAAAATTAATGTTAAGAATTTTATAATTTTGAATATTCCAAACTAGCCCAGGAAAAAAGATACGATTTTGAATTCTTACAGTATATCTTTCACAATTATGCGAAACAGAATGATTTCCATCATACAACCCAAAAATTTATCAGGAAATCGAATTTCATTCAATCAATTCACCCAGCATCAACCCCTGCACATTCCTTCTCTTTCCTCCGTTTGTATTTTATTCCTTTTTTCTGCCAAATTTACTTTCCAATAACACACGCGTGTGCAAGCGCGCATCGTGTGTGTGTGCGCGCCGCTATTTATGGGCGAGCAGCGAAATAAGAAATAACCATTATGTAAAACAGACGAACCAATTTTCCAGCCGGCACCATTTGCATGTGCCCTCTTCCCAGGCGGCTATTTTCCAGCTACTCAGAGAGACAAAAATAGCCGATTCGATCGGCGCCATCTTCTCTCCGGGAAAAAAAAACTAATGACCAGGGGGCCAATATTGTCCTCGGCTGATTACCAAATAAGGGTACATACGTGTGTTTCTGTGTGTGGCGAGTCCACCCCTAGGACGTGCGCAATCCTATTAGCCAGACCATTCGCTCTTACTTACGCGTCGCCCCCGACTTACTTACTTAATATCCCCCGTAATCGCTTTTTCGCCGGCTACTTTTCCTTCTTACCGAGACCGCCGCCGTCTAATATATATCGCATGGGCGTAAAACTTCTGTTTGCCGCTGGGACGCTCATTAATTTTTTTTGCCCGCACGTGCGCTGCGTCCACGGGGGTGGTCGCCGCCGCTTTATTGGCAAATCGCCGGACTCACTCTTCAGCCCTGATGAAATTTCCTGTGTGTTTTGCGGCTTCTGTTGAGGTGATTAGAGAGGTAAACGCACGACCGGCTTCACCAGTGATTAGACGGAAACCTTGAATTAAAGCGAAAGCCTTTGTTTATATTGGATCAGGACCACCGCGGAGCTTTTTACGGGCTTTAATGGTCAAGAATTGCAAAAAGTAGCGTATGACTTTCAATGCCAGATAATTTCAAAATATTATTATGGTAAAATTTAAAGTAAAAAATAAGGTCCTTAAATCGAGATATGCATATGAATTAGCATGTACAAATTTACTCATTATTGATCTCTGTAATACATTCTCGTTAACTAACACGACTGAATACGAGAATTTCCTAAATGTAAAAAATGTTACAAATGCAGAAATCGACCCACAATTTTACAACACTCCTGCAATGACTGAAAATAAATGGAAAGAGACTAACTTTAAAGATCGGCACCTTTTTACGAGGTATGCTTGCCATGGTTTTCATCATTTGTTATGTGAAAATAAAGATTACCACTGTGCAGCAAACAAAAACTGTAAATGTATAAAATGTGGTGAACAAATTGGAATGTATCACCTATTCGAATGTAAAAAGAGTGACTTAACACTAACTAAAGCAGCTTCTATGAAAGTTTAGTGCAATTACAACCTCTTCAGTTTTTACTATTATTATATGCATAAACAATTAATATTCATGTATGTGTCTGTATACCGTTGGTATTTAATAAAAAGAATTAATTAATTATTAATAATAATTAATCTGATTCTTTCAAGTTTCTTTTTTGAAAAAATAAAGTGGGAAATTTCAATGAAGAAATTTTGCAGGTTAGTAAATAACACGCGATAAGTTTTTCCTATATTATGGATTTTTCAAACTTATAGTAAGTAAAGTGTGTGTATGTTTTTTTTTATCACTCATCTAATGATAGGATAGATAGCAGGTTGCCTATGATAGATTAAAATGATCGGTTTCGTCTGATATTAGCAAAGTTCTTAGAAATGCGCAATCTAGTGAACATACTTGTCCGTCGAGGCTACAGCTCGGCGGCACCAAAATTTGAAGAGATTAAAATCCCAGTGCCTTGGGGACACATAGCAGGTAGGAAGGAAAATAAAATATGATTATTGTATCAAAAATCAATACTTTTTTACTTCTTAAAATTTATGAATCTTCCTTTTTCCAACTTACCTTCATTGATATAAAAAATATAAAAATTAATTTCTATTAAATTAAAGTTGTTGATTAATTTATACTAGCAAAATGGTGGGGACCTCAGGACAAACAGCCAGTTTTGGCCCTTCACGGTTGGCAAGAAAACTGCAACGCCTATGACCCTTTGATGAAGATTCTGCCGGCGGATTTGAGCGTTCTGGCGTTTGACATGCCAGGCTATGGTCATTCCTCAAGATTTTCTTCTCATGGAATTTCCCACGTACTGGAAGAAGTTACTGCGCTCCGAGCACTCAACAAACACTTTGCATTCAAAGATCCCATCAAGTTCCTTCTGCATTCATACTCCATCAGTACTGGATTAATTTACGCCGCAAATTACCCAAAGGTATGGTAATAAAAATATAAAAAAAAAACTTGTCAAAAAGAATATCTAAATTAATTCAGGATGTAGAGAGGATGCTGGCGATTGATTTCATAAAACCTTTAGCTGTGGACGGCAAATTTCTTGCCAATGCCGGAGGGCAGATGCTGGACAGATTGGTGGACATAGAGATGAAGATTGAAAAGGGCAGAGAAACTACTCTTGAAAAGCACGCAGAGATGTACAGTAAGGCCGTGATGAACAGCCTCTCCGTTGAAAAGTCCAAGTTGCTGATGGAACGAGGCACCGCTCTCAATCCCGAAACCGGACTTTTCTACTTAATTCGAGACCCCAGACACAAAATAAACTTCTACTTTAGCTTTCCAAATGAAGTATTCGTAGAAATGGCCAAGAACCTCAGATGCAAGATTTTATACATCCACGCGAAGAAGGGTACAATTTTCGAGCACCCAAAAGTCATCAAGGCGGTACAGGTGGAAATTGAGAAAGCGACAGACGTCGAGTATGGTGAAGTTGATGGAACGCACCACGTGCACATGGAGAATCCGGAACTTGTCAAACCTTTTGTACTTGACTTTTTATTTGGAAGAAAGTGTTAAAAAATTCCATTAAATTTCGAATTATTTTCAGTAGGAAAATAAGGATAAAATTTTTATTTTTGAACTTTCTAAACTCTGATTTTTTTATTTAAAAAAAAAATATACAATGTATTGGATTGTGGAACTGAGCGGGATCAATGATTTAGAAAAAAATTAAATGCCAGAATCAAACAGATCAGAATCTTAATTTTCACAGGAGAGAAATCCTACACAAATTAATTTTTTCTGATTTTAACTACAAAAAGAAGAGAAAATTTTCAAACTCACAAAATAATCATAGAAACGCAAATAAAATAAGATTATATAAGGAGACGCTTTCCTTGGTCTCTTTTCATGGGCCAAGTTTAAAGAGCAAACCCCTTTTTTCTCCTCGTAATGTTTTCAATAACATATTTTTTATGCAGATATTTAACTTTTTAGAAAAAGTAATTGAATCATTATACGGCTGTATTTTTATTTATCAATATATAATATATGCATTTTCATGCAATAAGTTTCCCAAATTTTACTCTGATATTGTTTGTGAATTTTCTTGAATTTATATTAACGAGGAGCTTCATGAGCTTGTGACAAAGTAGATAAGTGATAAAATCATCTAATCTACCACTGTAAACTTTTTAATTTTAAAATATACTGGGAAATTTCTATGAAGAAATTTTCAATTACAATATCATAAAATCACGCAAGAGGGATTTCCTATATCCTATAATATGGGTTATTCCAACTAAATAAGAAGTCTTTTTTATCTGAAAATGTCTCAATGAGAAATTGATATGATAGATAAGCAGGTTGCCTTAAATGGGAAAGAATAATCGGTGCCGTCTGAAATCAGAACAGTCGAGATGCATAATCTAGTAAACACACTTGTTCGTCGAGGGTTTAGCTCTGTGGTGCCTAAATTTGAAGAGATTAAAATCCCAGTACCTTGGGGTCACATAGCAGGTAGAGAGAGTAAACAGTACATGATCATTGTATCAAAATTTACAATGTAATTTTACTTCTTTAAAGTTCAGAATCATCACTTTTTTTCCAGCTTATCTTAATTGCTACAAAAAATTTAAAATTCAATTACTTTGTATTCAATAAATTTATGCTTTAAAACTGTAGCAAAATGGTGGGGACCTCAGGACAAACAGCCAGTTTTGGCCATTCACGGTTGGCAAGAAAACTGCAACTCCTTCGACCCTTTGATGAAGATTCTGCCAGCAGATTTGAGCGTTCTGGCAATTGACATGCCAGGCAATGGATTCTCTTCAAGATATCCTTCTCACGGAAATTTCCATGTACTGGAAGACGTTCTTGCCCTCCGAACACTCACCCAACACTTCGCCTTCAAAGATCCCTTCAAGTTCCTTCTGCACTCGTACTCGATCGGTGCTGGATTTATTTACGCCTCAAATTACCCAAAAGTATTAACAAATATATAAAAAAAATATCTTTTCAAGAAAATCTTAATTAAGGATGTGGACAGGATGCTGGCGATTGATTTCATAAAACCTATGAGTGTGGATGGCAAACTTCTAACCAATGCAGGAGGGCAGTTTTTGGACAAATTGGTGGACATTGAGATGAAGATTGAAAAGGTCAAAGAAGCTACCCTTGAGAAGCATGCAGAGATGTACAGTAAGGCCGTGATGAACAGCATCTCCGTTGAAAAGTCAAAGTTGCTGATGGAACGCAGCACAGCTCTCAATCCCGAAACTGGATTTTACTACATCACTCGAGATCCGAGAATCAAAATAAACTTCTACTTTAGCTTTCCAAATGAATTTTTCGTTGAAATGGCCAAGAACATCAGATGTAAGATTTTTTACATTCACGCGAAGAAAGGATTGGTTTTCGAGCACCCGAAAGTCATCAAGGCTGTACAGGTGGAAATTGAGAAGGCGACGGACGTTGAGTATGCGGAAGTTGACGGAACGCACCACGTGCACATGGAAAAACCAGAACTAGTCAAACCTTTTGTACTTGACTTTTTATTTGGAAGGAAGTGTTAAAAATTGCTAGCATAATTAAAAATTTGAAATTTTTGTCATCTGGACTCTAAAAAAGTAATTTTTTCTTAAATAAATACAAATTATTTGTATTTAATTCTGAAACATGATTGTAAATAAATACACCTTTATTAAAAAAAAAAAAAAAAATACCTGACGCATTTATAACTAAATTAATGTGAACTTAAATTTCCAAATTTAAATTAGTTCAGCTAAATTATCACAAAAAATGTGTTTTTTCTTTCTTATATTTATTGAAATTGTTTGTAAATCAATATTTCTTTATAATTTCCACAACAAAAATCTGTCAAAAATCATTTTAAAAAAATGTATAATTTCACCAGTGTATTAAATTGGAGTTGAAGAAAAATTTTCTTAAAATTTACATTTTGAGCAAAATCTCCAACAATTGTTTGATTTTCCCAAGCAAAACATTATTGTTCGCGGATGGGCGAGGAATAATAATATAACTTGGCCTCTCTCGCATGCATAAAAAGCAGTTCTCAGCATATACGGACATGAATGTGTGTGTACATTGGAGCGCGCGCACACATTCTCCTCCTCTGCAATTTATTCTAAACGTCTCAATTCATCAGCGGCAGCAGCGTGATCTGCAAACAGCCGAGCGATGAATATGAAAAGGGTTGCGAGCCCATTTGATTGCGGGCTGCTGACATTACAACAATGAGAGCGAGCCAAAATATATCACCAGCCGCATAAGTGTGTTTTATTTTTCGATCATGATGATGATGATGATGGGTACACACAGCACTGCTCTCGGAGTGAGGGCTGAAGCGACGGGGCTTTGCTGCTGCATACACCAATGGCATTATATAGTGATGCCATGAATTATGTATCGCGCGTCATCATCAAAGATTAATTCAGACTTATCCCGGATCTTTGTTTGGCTAGGAAAGAAAACGTTTAAAAACTGCACAAGTTTTTTTCTTCTCTGCCTCTCAAGACCGGCACGCTCAAATAACGAACGAGAGAGGAGGAGGCTGCGCTGCTGCTGCCTCTTCTTCTTCTTCTTCTTCGCTCGGCGCGGCGTACACTAAATCATCTCGTGCATACTAAGTGAGATGTGAACATCCATTTTACGGCGGAAAAAATGAAAACAGCGCCAGTCAGAGACACACACGCACGCACACACGCGGACCGACTTGCCAAAAGCGAAGGGCAAAAATGGGAAATCAAACCGGGGAGAGTAAGATGCGCTTCCACTGGAAAACCGCACTTCTGTGGGGGACGTTTGTATTTTGATTCAAAATCCGTAATGTAAATTTTGCTGCATTTGAGCTCTTTTAATAATCTCTTACTTTTTTTCAACAATTGTATGCTGACAGTGTGATGTAATAATTTGGACAAATAAACAACAATAATAGCTCCATTATTATTATTATAAATTTTGAGCATAGGAAAATTTAATCTAGCCGCTAAATTCTAGAATAATTAGATTAAGAATTACAATTACACTCAAATCATCTTAATAGCTGATACATTAGAGTACCATGACAATGAAACAGTAAAACACTTTAACGCATTTCAAAATACGTATTCATGAAGCATTAGTAAATGTTTAATATTTCTTCTGGTTTAAAAAACTAGATTAATCATTTTGAAATAAACTTTGCATGAAATAGTAGTAAAATAAAAAGTTTACAAGTTATAATAAAAATAAATATAATTAAATATTAATACAATTAATATAATCATATATAAATATTAAAAATAAATATATTAAACTTTATCTAATCTATAATTTAGAAAAATAACATAGTTAATTTTTTATTAAACAATTTTTTTTAAGCTTCCAAACTTTGTTGCAAACTGGTTACTCGATTTTTGTATACCTTGGGTGCAAAATAAAATAAAACTATCAAACTTTAAAAAAAAAGATTATTAAAATTATACTGAATTGCTTATAAAATTATAAATATAATGAATTACTTCATTAACAAAAGCAATAAATTTACATAAAACTTAAGGGCCAAACTAGTCGTAGAGACGTTAAACTCGGAGAGGTAATATTATGCACGACGAGCATAGTATCGATCGAAAAAGCATCATCTGCGAGCTGCGAAAGGAAAAAATCAGCCCCCACACTTTTTCTTTCCTCTTTCGCGTCGGCTGATATTTAGATGAGCATTTTTACGCCGCAGATGAGGGGGTGTAGTGGGGCTTAATGCGCGCAGGCGGGCGTCATCCCCGACGAGCCAAGTGCGTGTGTGTTTAGCACAAGGCGGGAATGAGGGTCCAGCGTTAAAAAGAGCAAGGGGGATAAAAATAAAAGATAAAAAAATGTTGTAGCGAGGAATATCGCCGCGGCAGCATCCGACTTTCTGTAGATGGTGCGAGAGAGAGAGAGAGAGAGAGAGAGCCAGTGTGTTGATTAAACTATTTTACGACTCGCGCACCAGAATAAAAGCAAAATACACACACACGAGCTACATATTGCGCGCGCTTAAGACTGGCCTTTCCAATTCGAGCAAACAGCGTTCGTTGCGCACCCGAATCAATATTAATAAAAGCTGTTGGGGAATTTCGTCTCTCGTAGTGTAACAAAAAATAAAAGGAGAGAGAAAACTTTCGCGACATAAAAAACAAGTCGTAAAAAAAATATGAGAAATGGCCTCTCTCACTTTATTAATTTGCAAAGTTGGCCGGCCTGCGTCAATTTGTTACTTTTTTTCTTTATTCCGAAACCAATCTAATCAATATTCAGCTGGCACAGGTTTCAGCGGCGATTATTTTTTCCCTACCCAGTGTTTCTTTCGTTCCCCCGTTTGTGGTGCGGCGGCGATATTAGACTTTTTATGCTCACATGTCCCGCCGATGATTAATTACACGCACCGCATTTATGAGGGGATTTGGCCCTGTATTAATAATAATCTGCTGCGGCAGACGTAAAAAATAAGTATTAGAGAGGGTCTCTTTCCTTCTCTACTGCAGAGAAAGGAAAAGGACCGATGACCAATGGAACAAACAAAAAAAACTGCCTCTGCTGTTAGAGGGCGAAATTTGCTCTCCCGCTCGTTTGCCAATCAGTTATTGAAGAAAAGTAAAGAAGCGGCGGCGGCGGCGAGAATGTCTCCCTCATGTGTCATAAACAGACGCAGCATAAAAGAATATACGCCGAAAAAAAATTAGAAGAGAGAGCAGAGATGATGAAACTCATAAAAAATGCTGCCGAGCTGCGCGCATTAGAAAGATCCAACGGCCCCTTTTTCTGCTCGCAGCGTTGTAATCGGGGGCATTAGAGAGTTGCTTTTTGCCATAAGTGAAAAAGAAAGCACGGAAAACCGCGCAGAGAGGGAAAGAAAATTCGAGCGGAAAGGTCGTGGCGTTTCCATTAATGCAAAAACAAAGAAGAGGAGAAAAATGTAATTCCAACAATAAGCCTGAGGCCGAGGAAAAGAAGGTGCAGGATTCGTCGAGAGAGGTTCCGAAAAGGGAGGGTGCGAAATATTTTAAGAAATCACTCTGAATTTTAAATAGTTTAGTTTCTATTTCTATACAAATAAAAAATTAATTCATTGGAAATTGTACCAAAAAACGTTTGAAACAGTTTAATGTCAGTAAAAATAAATTTTCATTTTCTTATTTACGTTTTCATAACATTCTAAAATTTTAGAAGGAAGAAATACCCAAGAGTTTTGAATTTGTCTTTTCACTGAGTCGAAAGAGTTCTCGGATATCAAAATTATTTAAAATTCAATATTGCATTTTTTTTGTTCGTAAAATAAACCCAATAGAATGAAATAGAATTTAATTCTAGAATCAATTTAAGTGTAATAATATTATTATTATTGATTTGGATATTTATGGTGGATTTCAATTGCTTGAAAAAAATTCCACCTGACATTTGGCCCGATCAATTTTCTATAATAGAAATCACTCTCGACCATATGCGACATTTCGCTCCGTTCCCAGCACTAAACTTTGCTCTGCGCTTGTTCTTTTAAAGACCGTGCGAGTCTGGTTCGTGATTCACGCAGCAATTCGCGAATAGACCGCCCCGCAGAGCGGAAAATAAAAAACATTAAAATGCCGGTATTATAAATACCACTCGGTTCTGTTCATCCAAACACCACATAATACTGGGAATCAGCAGCAGCGGCAGGAGTTTTATTTATATTTATTTTTCGTCTTATTATAATGCGGAGGTTGTTGTGCTGGCTGCAGAAAAACAGAAAGAATAAGAAGAAATAGCTTCAGAAGCCAGTAAAGCACCCCGACCTTCGTCTTGTCGTATGCTAATTAGGTGCACAGCGGCAGTGCGCTCGCTGCGAGTTGCTTTATCGCTGTCATCATCATCGGCTCAGATTATTCGCCCAGCCGGGCGGGCGCGATACTATCGCCTCGCGAACTCGACCCCAAACAGCGTATGAAACAAAGAAGGAGAGAAAAACGGCCGGATTTATTTCTCTATAAGCGCACCAAATTCTGGAAATTGTCAAAACGTACACTGTAAAAAAATAAATCGGTTAAAATTCAAAGTTGAATTAAGGAAAAAACTTATTTCTGTGGTTTATTTGTCAATTGTATTAATTTTAATAGAAGTGAGTTCGAATAGCTTCTAAAAACTTTTATTTTAAAACCAAATGCATTAATATTTTAATACAAGGTCCTATATTTGTAAGACCATTAGGAAATTCAATCTATACTGTCTTCATTTAAAAAAATATTATCCTTAAAGGAAAATAAAAATTAATTTTATAACCGACAATTTCCAACAATTACTTTAATTGTTACAATAAAGGATAACAAATGACTAAAAATTCCTTTGCTTTATTTTTTATTCCTATATTTTTTACTGTGTATCTTAAGTGCTTCTTTCTACACTCACTATACCTATCTCTTTATATTTTGCACGATTTGAGATTCCTCTCCCTCTCTCATTGTGTTGTCCTCCTCGGATAACGATACTGCTCCCAGTGTGTTCCTCGTCGTTTTTTTTTTTCACAATTTATTTACACCGAGCCGTGATTCCTCCGCTTTTCCTTATTATTATTATATATACGTGTGTATTTATTTTTGCATGTTATCTGCCGAGCATTGTTCTTAAATATTATGACCTTTGCTAAAAATCATCTGCCCCAGCGGTCGTGAAAGGTTTTTGTTTTTTATTATGCTAATGCGCTTAAAACTTCTTTTTGTTCGCAGATCGAAGATCGCTGGTGCGGCTCAAGGATGGAAATAAATAAGCGGAAAAGGAATCCGAGCTGGTGTTGAGAGTTCAAATCACTAGAGAGGGGCCACTCATTGGCGCCGCTCATTAAGAGAATGAACCGCCGCCGGAGATTTCCACGCTGCAACGCACACATACACTACTTTTCCGCTCTCCCGTCTCTGGAAAATAGTCAAAGTTTTCGCCGACGCACGAATAAAAGAGGCCTCTCATGGCCAATGGCGTTGAAACAATTACCTCTCTTACTCCTTTTTATTCCCTTCGAAAATGGACCTGTAAAAGAAAAAGGAAAAAAAAAACGCAAAGGGATTTTGGCTGTGCGTCTTTTCCAGCAGATGAGTTTTTCTTTCCTTTCCCCGTCTCTCCCAAAGTGTCAAAGCTAATCTCGTCTAACAAATCGTCCTGCCTAAGTGCAGTCTCATTCATTTGGATCGCATGTCTCCCGAGATCGAGTGCGTGTTGATTTGATGGTCATTCCGCTTGAGCGGACATTTGCATGCAGCGCACACTTGTCGAGAAAAAAGTGCAC